GACATGCCGGGGTCCAGCAGCCACCATGTGATGAATGGCAGTTTGTGACTCTGGACCATGGAGTTTATTGTTCCCGTCAGGTCCAGTTACGTAACTCACGGCAGATGTCTGCATTAAAGGCCATTAGCACATCAGGATGTGTTGGCTGAGTGTGGACGAGGGCTAACCATCTCCAGACATTGGCCAGAGTACACAAGCCACCCCTTTCCTATTGGTGACAGCACTTGGGGTCCCAGTTCCCCCTTACTTACGTTCTGAGACCGCTTTGGCATGAGTTGATGCCTCTGCAGGAACCCTGTAAGTGGAGAACGTAAAACCGGAAAGCAGCGTTTGGCCACACGCTCTAAGTCCAGGCCTTGTTTCTCTACAGTACGGGTTTCTTCATTTTTCTCTGCTGTTACAGAACCACGTGGCAAACCGGGGGATGGCCGGTCTAGGAACCATCAGGAGCATCCAAGAAAGCATCCGGGGAGGAATAAGATAGAAGCAGAGGCTGGGGAAGAGGGGCCTGAAAGAGACCAGTGGGAGGAGTGCATGCGTGCATGCATGCATGCATGCTAGGGGGCAGGGTGAGATCCTCCATGCCCGGTGACCAGCTAGCATCCCCGGAGTAGGTGCGACCTTGCCCCTCTACCCATCTTCCCAGCCAGCTTCTGTTAGTGCCTCATTACTTCTGAACCCTGAAAGCATAATGTGTGTTTTTTGAGTGGATCTTTGAGAAAGTAGCCAGCCTGTGGAAACGGGCCAGAAGTAGGCGAGTTGTGCCTGTTTGTGCCTCTGGCCTCTGGAAGGTACGGGCTTCCCAACCAACAGAAGAGCATTCTTTAAAAAGAAGACGGGCTTCCAAAAACATCATCAGAGTTTGTTGCCCAAACATCTCAGGTTCTTTCTGAAGACCAGGAACCCAGGAGGTTTGGAAACACCGCTGCCTTCATTTTCAGTACTAGAAACCCCAAACTTCCGGCTCAGGAAAGTGGGGGTGGCTCCTGGGATTTTTTTTTTTTTTCATTTATTTTTTAATTTTTATTTTTTTGCCAGGCAAAGGGCTGGTGGTTTCTCCGTGGTAGTGCTTCCACCTGTTGTCAGTAAGTGGTATTACACTCTAGCTTCCCTTCACTGTGCTCCAGTCTTGCCTGTGCCTGGGATTGAACTCAGGGCCTCTCCTACACCAGGCCTGCACTCTGCACCGAGCCACGCCTGGCCCAGTGGCTGCAGTTTAAAAGCCATTTATCCGGGATACACACTTTCTTTTAATTGTAGTCACAAAGAGTGACTACAATATGCGAGCGCGAAGGCACCAGCCACCTAACTTGGGGACTCTGCATGCCACATCTTTGCTTTGTTTCTTGGGGGCTCCTGGCCAAGCTGCCAAGATATCAGATTACAGCCTTTGAGTAGCGGCTGCTGAGAACCGGCCATTCCACTGTGCTCAGTATTTGCCACTTGTTTTTCTCTTTTCTTTCTTCTTCTTTTTTTTCTTCCTGTGACAGGGTTTCTCTGTGTGACCGTCCTGGCTGTCCTGGAACCCTCTGTAGCCCAGGCTGGCCTCAAATTTACAGATCCGCCTGCCTCTGCCTCCTGAGGCTGTCACTTTTTTTATTATCCTTTTGTTATTGTTGTTTTTTCTTTCTTTCTTTCATTCTTTCTTTTTTTTTTTTTTGTTTGTTTTTCGAGACAGGGTTTCTCTGTGTAGCTTTGGAGCCTTTCCTGGAACTCACTTGGTAGCCCAGGCTGGCCTCGAACTCAGAGATCCGCCTGGCTCTGCCTCCCGAGTGCTGGGATTAAAGGCGTGCGCCACCACCGCCCGGCTGTTTTTTCTTTTTTATTATGTTTTTATTACTTAAAATGATTTCTCAGTTTAAATGTCTGATTATATTCTTCCCTCTCCAAGTCCTTTCGGTTTCCTCCCCTCTTTACCCCCCAACTTTTAAGTCCTTTCTAAAATAAGTAAATAAAAACTCAATAAAACAATGCTTCCGAACCAAGAAAACAAAGCAATATCAAAACAGAAAAAAATAATACCTGTAATCAAATAAAATATTTTAAAAAAAGCAAAAACCAAACTTGAGTCCATTATATGTTGCTCCTCTGCTGCATGTGAGGCTGCTCTGGAGTAGTTGATATACCCAGTGTCACGCCATTGGAGAAAACTGATTTTTCCTCTCCCAGCAGGTGTAGTTCAGTGGTTAGCCTTTACCCTAGTGGCTAGGCTTTTATTCATTCATTTAAAATAAAATACAGTAAGATAAAACAGAGCCATCACATTGAAATTGGAAAGGACAGACTAACAGAAAGGAAAGAGCCCAAAGGCTCTTTCCCAACTAGCCAGAGACCCCCTTGTTCCAACACCCAGGAATCTTATAAAGACACTAAACTGGAAGCCGTCATATATATGGGGGTGATCTGGTGCAGACCCGTGCAGGTCCTGTGCATGCTGCCTCCGTCTCTGTGAGCTCCTATGAGCATTGCTCCTGTTGATTTATAGAGGCCTGTTTCCTTGGTGTCCTCCGTCCCCTCTGGCTCTTTCACCCTCTCCGCCGCCTCTTTCATGGTTATTTTTTTTCCTGTCTTAGTTGGTTGTAGACATGGTTACTAGTAGAACTTGTCTGGCTAGTTGGGAAAAGAAGCAAGATGTGGGGGGTAGGGGGTGGGGGTGGGGGGGCAGGAGGCGGGGTGAGACCCAGACAAATCAGCCCTGAGCTACTTCTGGACCAGAGCAGAAAGTAAAGGCTTATAGACCCGTTCAAAGACAGCGGATGCTAATAAGTATTAGAAGGGTATTTAGGAGATGCAGTTCACTATAGTGTGTGTGTGTGTGTGTGTGTGTGTGTGTGTGTGTGTGTGTGTGTAGGTCAGAGGACAACTTACATGAGTTGGTCGACCGTGTGGGTCCTGCGGATTGATCTCGGGTCATCAGCCTTGATGGAAAGTGACTTTATCCACTGAGTTACCTCAATGGCCCTGATAGGCTTCTGGTTATGGGTTGGGAAGGAAGGAGAAAGGGGAGGGAGAGGAGGATGAATGTTCTGGAATGCCTTGTTGAGACAGTCAGCCGGTGTGCGGTTAGCCTGATGGTGTTCTGGGCTGGGGAAGCAGCAGTGAGAATCAGTTCTGAAAGCCCCAGAGTTTTGATGCCTACCCTGGCCCCACCACAACTGAAATGTGCTCCGCGCCTAGCTGTTCTTCAGCTACATATCAGCTGAATGGACAAACAGACCTTGAACGGCAGAGACCAGAAGTATACATGGAGACCGAGAGGGCTTGAGAGGCCCAGGATGCCTGGGAGGAGGAGGGAAGTGTGAGTTGCCAGAGACTGGTCTTTCTTCATCTGTTTGATGGTTTATTACTTCTACTTTGTGCATACAAGTGCTTTGCGTGCATGTCTGTCTGTCTGTCTGTCTGTGCACTGTTTGGTGCTGGCAGAGGCCAGAAATAGGGCATTGGAATCCCTGGAACTAGAGTTATGGTTGTGAGCAACCACGTGGGTACTGGAGCCAGACAGACGTGGTCTTCTGGAAGAAAAGCCAGTGCTTTCAACCATGGAGCTAGCTGTCCAGTCCTGGTGTTGTTAGTTTCGTGGTGGGTATCCAGAGTTGTCGGCAGCTTTGGAGCGAACCCAGCTTGGTAGTCTGTGTATCTAACAGACGCCCTCGGTGCTCATTGGGCAATCATGGATTGGAACCTCAGGAAGGAAGCTATGGTAGCTGGGGGGGTGGGGGGTTGGCTCAGGGGGTGCCTGGTGGAGGCAGAATAGGTGAGAGAGCAGAATAGGGACTTGGACTTCCAGGAAGTAATGGGGGAGTTTGTTAAAGCAGCAGTGTTCACTTTTCTAAGAAAAGACTGGTGGCCATTTGTACAGATCAACACTTACTGACGTAGGGAAAAACTCAGCTGTCGTATTAAGTGAAAACCAGCTTACCAGAAATGACTTCATTTTTATAGAAATAAAGTGTGGCAGAACTGCGGGAATCGGCTCTTACTTGTGATCCTCGCACTTAGGATGCTCAGGCGAGAGGATTGCCACGGGCCAAGGCCAGCTTGACTTGGGTAGTAAGTTCCAGGCCAGCAGTAGCAAGACCTTGTCTCAACAACAGAACAAAACAGGAACAGAAAATGCGAGCACAGTTATAAAAGAAGGAGGGTGGGATGTTTTTAGGGGGAAATGGGAGTCAGGGCTGGGGATGTGGCTCGGTTGGTGAAGGGACTTGCCTAGCATGCCGGGAGCCCTCGGTTTGTCCTCCCGCACCACATAAAATGGGCATGGTGGTGAACACGTGGTAGGAGATGGGGGCAGGGGGGATCAGAAATTCAAGGTCATCCTCAGCTGCATAGGAAGCGCCGGCCTGAGCTACATGGAATGGGAGTCTCAAAAATAACAATAAAAATACGAACCCAGGAGTGGGGATCTTTGGGAGGCAGGTTCACAAGTGATTTTATTTTCTTTGAGTTTGTCAGTAGTTTTCAGATGACCTCCTAGGAATAGGTGTCAGTTTTCTGTAGAAAGGAAAGATCAAGCCAGCAGGATGGCTCAGCCTGCCAACAAGCCCGAGGTCCTGAGTTTAACCTCACGACCTACATGGCAGAGAGAGGACTGATTCCTCCAAGTTGTTCTCTGATTTCCACACATGTGCTGAGGCATGCATGCACAGAAACTCACGTGTGAGCACGCGAGTGTGTGTGTGTGTGCGTGTGTGTGTGTGTGTGTGTGTGTGTGTGTGTGTG